GTTGAATTGAAGCCAGCTAATTGCTAACACTACACAGTATCTTTGGCCCTAGCTCAAGCTTATTCGCAGCTTCCCAGCTATCCCAAGGGCCTTCTCGCCGCCGAGATTGGCGTAAAAGAGTGATGATGCGCTGAACCAAGATAGGGTCCTCGCAGAATGTCGCTGTAAAAAACAGCGAAGGAATCGTGTCGCTATCCAGCGTGAACATTGGCCGTCCCAACCACGATGCCTCCATACTATACAAATGCCCCGCCATGTCCAGGAGCTCATAGTTGAGCCTCGATAACTCTTCGTCGTTGTCTTCAGTCTCTGGAAGTAGGATTATTTCCAGTGCGCATCTGCGAAGCATGAGGACAAGTAGTTCGCGCTGAACTTCCTTCGGTAAACTCCGTGAGTCGGCCAAAGCTGAGACGAGGAGGTCGAACTTCTTCTTCCAACGCTCGAAAGATGCGGTGAGCTCTATCGTTTCGTTATCTAGACCACGATCTATCGTAGTCTCTTCATCTCCATCACAACCAGGATCGGTATTGAACAGCCTGATTTCTAGGTCCCATAAGGCCTCTTTGCATTCTGGGACGCTTGAAAATGGTGTACGCTCTTCGTCAATTTCGATCAATGGCGTGGCGTATGGTGTCATGTCGGAGATGACGTCTTCGTCGTCGACGAGCATGGCTGCGTCCACACCGAAGCGAAGTAACACGGTCCCGATCTCCTGCATCAGCTGTTTTGAGTCGTTTGAAGCGGCCGACAGGTTGCATGTTTCCAACAGACGTGCGCCGGCCCGCATGTGACGAATGCCCTCGTCAAAGCGACCGAGCAAGTTCTCCAAGCACACAAAGAGTAAACAGCAGGTCAGAATCGTGACCTCAGCATTAACGGTTGTTGACGTCTGAGAATCCTTGATGCTCACTAAGTCTCCAATGGCTTTGTTATAATGCTGTGTGGCGATGACTTCCAGACGGGCCATCGACTCGTTTGTATCATCCAGAAGAGGCGCTGAAAGCTTTTGGAGGTAGAGCTGATGGGCTGCACCGAGCGCAACCACTGCATGTCGTACCGCAGGCTCGTTATGGCTCATTGGAAGCACTCTTCGGGACCAGAAGTCTTTCGGAGTGGCGAGACGGACGAAATCGACGATGGTGATGGAGCAGAAATGGTAGAAGAAGAGCCGTTCGCGCGCGCTACCGAAAAGGCCAAAGCCAGATCCGACGTCTGGGGATATGCTACGCGTCTGACGACGAGCGACGGTACACTTGCTTGCTGCAGAGGCTTGGATGGCTTTCTCTCCAGTAGGTGATTGCTTCTTTTGAGGCGGCAGTGGCGCATACCCATCACACTTCACTTGGCCCTCTCTACATCGACGGCAGGTTGGTTTCTCTTCGTCACATTTCTTTCGGCGTATTCTGTAGATCAACACGCGGCATGTCAGTATGTTGAGCCTGATATGTTGGGCGATCGTGGATACCACGCTGTTTCCAAACACAGTTGCGGAACACAAAATCCTGGTATGAAGAAAGAGGTGGTGCACTGGGGAGATAACGCCCAAACACACTTACTTGCTGCGAAAGCACATTAGCAAAAGCTCCGTTGTGTCGACCACCCAAATTGTCGCGCGCAGAAAGGTCATCTTCGGTGTATAACACGGTGTTTCTTAAGGATCGCAGGTACAGAGGCGATAGAGTGGGAAGAGGGAACGAAAGAAGATGAGGCAGCTGCACTTCACCACGATTCTGGAGAACGTACCATGTATTACATCCTGTGCGAACTTTGGGAGAGAAGGTGCGCACTCGAGGGCCCTTTGTCAATACCGGCAGATCCATGATCATGTTATTGGCTGTGGCGTATGTCGGGTACTTCACCTTATAAATACGAGTTCACCCACAAACTCAAAATGGTTGAGGCGGTGCTATTTTTCAAAGAAGCCACAGTCGAAGTAAGGGCTGAGGACGCGCAATTGTTAGGAAGAAGAACAAGGAGATGGGAGTCCCGATCATGCGTTCTAGTTCATCTTATCGGCCCGACACGACGACCGTGATTGGCTCCAGCGTATAATCCGCCGGTCGGAAACGCCAATTTGACTGTCATCACCTCCGTCTCCACTGCGACAACACCTGGGCATCCACAACATCCACTGATCTCGTTAACAAGCTACTGGAGTCGACTCATTTCGGGTAACGTTGTGCAAGCTATACGCCGGCTGTATGATGCCTATCTACAGAGAACACAGCCTCCCGAGGTCTTGTCGACGGAACGCCCTTTTCGGAAACGTCATGGCAACAAGATTGGCATCGGCTGGTGACGTCCTCGCTATCGGGAAGCTGTATATAGAGGCAACGTTTAACTGAGTGGAAGATCATCTCGTTCTATATCTAAGATTCGCTCCAGAACGGCCATCCTATAAACACCCGGTGAAGCGTCGGGAACAGTTTACATCCATCGTTCCGAGCAAGCTTCAAGATGCGTTCTCAAGCGCTTCTTGCTCTCTCAGGCCTCTGTAAGTATCAGACCAAGCTTACCCATTACTCAATCGTTTTTCAGATGGACAAAAGCTAATTCAAATCAGGCCTTGCGTGTCCCGCCTTTGCCGGAGTCGTCTCGCGTGGATCAGACGCATCAATCGATCTAACACCAACCAATGCATCTACAACCAGCAAGGTCAAGGCCGATATCCGAGCTGATACCAATCGAGACGGCACGGTCGACATCACAGACGTGGAAGACTGCGAGGACTGCGACGGCAAGACCGAGTGGACTGCCGACTATGGCGCCATCTTTCTCCCCAACATTGGAGACACGAACAAGCGTTGCTCTAACGCCCTCCTCAATGGTCCTTCGGTCAGCAACGAGCGAATTGATGCTTGCAACGATGCTTCTGACAATGTCATGCGCTCCGAGCAATATCTCGCTCCGCTCCGCACAGTTCCACTGCCTGAGCTTCCCGATGACGCTCATGGTCGCATCTACATCAAAGATCCCGTGCAGCGCAAGTATGTCCGCATCTTCCACAAGGCGAGCGAAAACAGCACCTGGAGCTATGTCGACGGCAATTCCACTTTCAGCGCAGCCGCTCTGCGTGAGGGTCTTGTCCTCGGTGTTGACGGACGCGACACCCGTCGACCCAATGGCTGGGACGGCCGCGTTACTATTAGCTTCGATGTCGAGAGCTCGATAGGTGCCTCTTCTGATGATGTCATGCTTCGCGCTGCACCTGTCCTCACCCATACTCATCTCGACCCTGTGCAGCAGGTCATTGCTGTCAAAGGTAATGAGACCGGCAATCCATGGATCCTTCGCTTCACCGACGCCCTTCAAACAGCCGTCAACGAGTCTGGCCTCGAAGAAGAACTTTACCTCTTCTCCGGAAGCGATGATATCTGGGCGCAGGACTTCATGGAGCCTGGCTTCGCTTCGATGCCCGGTCCCGACGGACCCATCACCCTGCGTATCATGATCCGTTCTCCCCAGGACGAGCGCGTTGCCGGCAGACAGCTCTTCGAATACTACCGCGACACTGGTATCGGTGCTGTCCAGCAGCTTGGTGGTGCCCGCGATGAGATCAACTCCGGTGGTAACATCGAAACTATTCCTCCCTACGAGATTAATGGCACTACTTGGCCTGCCGGTCGTCTGATTCTTGGCAACCATGGCGAGCAGAAACACTTCCTGCTTCCCTTCTTCCAAGCTCAAGAGACACAAGATCCCCTTCTTCTCGATACAGACTGGCTGGTCATCGGCCACGTTGACGAATTTATCCAGTTCATCCCTGTCGATTCGCCTCGTGGTTGGGTCGTTATGGTCACCGATCCCATGATGGGCGTCGAAATGTTCCAGCAGCTAAAGGACAGTGGACACGGCTCAGAGCACGCCTTTTCGCGCAAGAACGATAGCCAATCATTCGCTAACTGCACCTCCGATTTCGCCTGTGCTGCCATTCCCGTTCCGCCAATCACTATCAGTGAGTTGCTTGCCAATGAGGATCTCATGTCTGTGCAGAAGCGCTGCGCCGATCGTATCGAGGGCAATCTACAGATCCTCAAGGAAGCAACAGGAGTTACTGATGACGAGATTATTCGCCTACCTGAGATGTTTAACGGAAATCCTTTCGGCGACCTTTCCGCAATTCTTTCCGGTAATGCGACAAGTGGCTCGACATTTGGCGGAAACTCTTCCGATAACGCGACAGATGAGCTGAAGGTCGGTGCGCTCTTCCCCGGTGTTATCAACGGCATTGTCTTGACCGACTTTGACACATACATTGCTCCCAACCCCTGGGGTCCCGTTGTGAACGGAACGGATGTTCTTGGCGAGAAGCTCAAGTCGCTGTACGCCAGTGTGGGTATGGATGTCATCTACATCGACGACTGGAACACACATCACAACTACGGCGGCGAGGTCCACTGCGGTACCAATACCGTGCGCGATATGGATAATGAGTGGTACTCGTCATGGGCATCTGATGAATGTGATGATGAAGGTGGAGATGACGATGACGAGGAAGGCGATGGCGAGATTTACTAGGCTTAACTATGTCGTGCAGATACCGGCCATGGCCTCCATAATGCATTCATCTGCTCGTATCCAAATCAGCAGCTCCTTTCACCATTTTTGTCCACGTTTCTACTTGAAAACTATCTCGAAGGCTGCGACGACGTCTCGTCTACTCAGAGTGATCTGTTCGCACATGTAAGTGTATCTAGGTAGCATTCATCTTTGGGGTACTCGGGTCAAAAACGTCGCTTGAGGAAGTAGATCCGCGCGGCGTGAGATACAGTGACTCTCGGTAGCTACAACGTTTCATTTCCTTCATATATCAAATCGCCGATAGGGAATAAGGAACTGCTGCTCTTTCGCGCTGGTCGACCTTTCATTGCTACCAACGGAAAAAGCCCGGACCTGTGTGGCCTTTACGCGCCAGCTACTTAAATATGTACCCAGGGAGCTCCACTTTGGAAACGATTTAACTCTCGCAAATACCTCCACCAGGGTTAGATTCTACCCTGATGATCTCAAAGCTCTTGGCGCTCGGTGCTGTTCTTCTCGCCTCTGCCACCGCTGACGTCTTCGACTCGTCTTACTCCAATGTCTCCAGCGCTGCTATCGACGAAGACAGGATCGAAACCGCCGTATTAGTTGACACCGAGACGACAGAACCCGCCGATGACGTTCTATGGAATGCTGCCTTAACCAAAGGCCGGATGTTGATACTAGCCACGAGCTTGAACCTTCCAGAGGCTGCCAAGGTCTATCAACAGATGGAAACTCCCTGGGATGGAACCCTCGAACGCGAACTAGCACTTTGGGGCTACTCGGAACCTGACTACCCGGAAGTTGAAGACTCTGACGAAAACTGTGTCATGGGGAAAGAAAACCACGGCCTTCAAGATATGCTCAAAGAGCTACACGCAGATGATAGAGATTCACGCGATGGAGGGGACAACATCTGTCACACAATCCAACATCAAGACGGACCTACCTTGGAGAAAGATAAGAACGGTGAAGTACCAGAAGATCCTAGGGATCAATACTACAAAGTTGAAGGGCGCAGATACAGGGTATGTGAGCACGTAGAATTCGACATGGCTACAACTTGACGCAATACAGCTGACATTGCTCTAGGTTACCGGCGCGGATTCCACCATTGGTATAAATCCAAAGGCTGGTATTATCTTCTTTCTGACCCTTGAGAGCCCCACCTACGCGGCGAGAACGCTATGGAACGTACCCTCCGTCAAGCCGGACGAAATGCCTAAACTCCAAAGAACCTCGGATCTTACCTGGGGTCTCTGGAATAGGCATAGCAAAGAAAGCCTGTCCAACATCAACTACTTCTTCACGGTGGCAGTTGTGAACCCGGAAACGCGCAAGATCATCAGTAGAGCCATGGGACAGAATGCTGTACCGAAGGCTCCAGGATACACCTTTAGAGCTGACAATGAGAACTTCATTGCTCTGCTGGGTATGTATACGATTGCAGCTTTCTCTGATTTGTTCACCAGAAGCTCTCGAATTCTCAACAGTTACAGGGTATGCACTAACTACCAGTCTCTAGGATCGCCGAACCTTGTAGCAGTAATGTTCTTCCTCCTCCAACACAAGACTCGGTTTGGCCACAATCGATGGGTTACTGAGATCCGTGTTTTCATACCAAATGGGGATTTGAATACGGTTTCGATGCTTGTAAAGGTTGAGCGAGCGCCCCCGACAGAACCTCCCGAACCCGATGAAGATCCAGATTGCGTGGAGGAAAGGTCGTTGACAAGTGCGACAGTCTCACCGCTGAATATCGATAGTTGGAAGGGTGGCGAACGTGCAAATTCGACCTTTGAGGAAGTGAATCTGGTTAGAAGACATATCATATGGGCTTAGACTCGGTCACAAGCGATGGACATAGGCTTTACATGGTGAGTTCGAACTAGATGCTTTGGCGACTCCATTGATGGAGCATCTCATACGAAAGTCCACATTACTTCAGGATGTTGTCGACCTTATCTTGTATCCTAATCTAGTCGGCAGAACACGTTTCTACATCTCACTTTCACAACATAGCCATTGCGCATTGTTAGCACACGAGCTCCTACTCTGGCCGGTTAAGTAATTGCTCGCTTCCTTTTCACCCACCACACCACTTTCTCGATCGCGCATCGCTAGACCAGGATGCCTACAGAATACGGCGACGAGACCGTGGCTGAGCTGGAATAGCTGCCGCCGAAACAAGAATATATTGCCAACCTACGCTCAGTCGCACCCCCAGCGGACGAGCCGACGTGTGCTATATGTCGTGGCGAGTGGGAATATCCGGCCCAGGAAGTCGTCGAGCCAAGCCCTCACTGCTCTCGACATCCTCTCCACAAAGATTGTCTTCTCATAACCTTTGCAACGGAAGACGGAGAGGAAGTCAGCAATCTGTGTCCATTTTGCCGTCGCGAACTCTTCGAGAAGATCACACAGCCGCCTGTGGAGCCCCCGAATAGCGCGAACGATACCTACCAGCAAACCACCCAACTCTATGACAACCTTGTGGCATTTCATTTCCAGATTGAATACAACGACGACAAAACCGAGGATCCCCACCTCCTGTATCCTTCTGGCCCGACTATCGAGGATGCCTTGCAGAAAGACGGTTTCTGGTCTGCTCTTCCCTGTTTCTTAGACGAATGGTATCACCGCAATGCGTCTCAGATTATCGAGCAGACAAAAAGCTATAGGGAACCACTATCTATCGTGGATATGGGTCGCGCTGTGGTTACTACGTTCTTTGGCACTGGTGAGCCACCGTCTCGCAGGATTACACGTCTCACAGGCGAAGGTCGCGCAGCTATTACTGCGCTCTTTGCGCACGAACCTGACATCGAAGAGTTGTGTCTAGAGGCTACGGAGCTATTGGATCACCAACAAGGCGAGATTGTAGTACAATGTATCCGCGCCGCCCTCATGTACTACGACCAGTCTGTCTTCCCCCAACTCGTCGAGGATTTGCAGCGCAAAGCTCGTCGGCTCATTGCCTACTATGTCCTTACTTCTCTATTAACAGCACGCAGACGCCCCGATGAGGACGTGTGGTATCGAGGAACAAACATCCCTCGCTGGCTCCAGCTGGTCCGTTTCCGTAAGATGCTGCACCGAGGGATCAACCAGTGGGCTTCGCCGACCTTCTTCGCCAGCCAACCCCCACTCGAGATGAATTTTCCTTACGGTCACCTTATGGGTGTTACCGAGGGATTCGGCGAGCATGACTTGTTGGAAATACAGTATTTCCGGCCCACCGATGTAGAGCCGTATCAAACTCGTATTCGACCTATCGCTCGTGGTCATAAGATGATCATAAAGGAGGACACCTCGGTATTTCGATTAGATCCCAATCTCCCAAATGGCACTATCTTTCAATTTCTGAAGGACGGAACCTTAACAGCTCGGGAACTCAGTCCTGCCTTCCTTCATGACATTTCCTGCAACCGTGAGGAAGGTTTCTTCGATCTCGTTCATGAGAATGGGAGTATGCTGAGGATCATACGTAGGTTCATGCCGTAGGGGCACTATGGGTGGCTAGGACTCGGGTTGCACGTTGCTACATACATACATGTAATTTTTAACAGCTAGATAGCTTCCGAGGCGGTGTATACTTGCCTGGGTACCATGTTTAGCAACGTTTTGCACTATGAGCTTACTAGTTCCCATGCGTATCCGCGATCTCCTTCTGGCCCTTCCTCACCCACGCTTTGAACGGATCCTGCACATCGGGATTCCTCCTCAACTTCTCAATCTGATCCTCGCCCGACGGCACTAAGAGCCCTCTCTTGACCGCATCTCTCCCCTCAATCTCCTCACACCACTTCTTCAGCTTCGGAAACTTGGTCATCTCAATCCCCGCCCATGGTGCCCACCGAACCCATGTAAAGGTCGTGATATCCGCAATACTGTACTTGCCGCGACCTTTGCCTGCGAGATAGTCTCTATCCTGGAGTCGCGCTTCTAAAACTGAGTAGAGGCGCTTTGTCTCATTCTTGTATCTCTTGGTGCCATAGTCAATCTTCTCGGGTGCGTAGCGCACGAAATGGTTTGCTTGTCCTTGCATTGGGCCCACGCCGGCGTTCTGGAAGAAGAGCCACTGTATCATATCCATCCGCTCGTCACTATCCTGGAAGCTGAACTTGAAGTCTTTGTCATAGTGTTCGGCGAGATACAGAAAGATGGCTCCAGATTCAAAGACGGGGTACGAGTCGCGGCTGTGGTCTACAATCGCGGGTATGCGACCGTTGGGGTTGACTTTGAGGAATGAGGCGGACTTCTGCTCATCTTTGGATAGATCGATGGCGGTGGTCTTGTAGGGGATGCCGAGTTCTTCGAGGAAAATGGAGATCTTTTGGCCGTTGGGTGTGGCCGCTGTGAGGAGCTCGATGTTGGGGGTCGTCATTTTGCGTTTTGGCTCTCACTTTGCAGTGTCTCTCGTATGTGAAATTTCTTGAAGAGGAGACATCGATGCTGCAGTATCACTGCTTACATAGATGCGCTATACCCGCACTACCGATGGTCCCGTGGACTCGTATCATGATGACGTATGTTGAAGTAGCTGAAGAGGACGTCATTAGGGTCTGCTGTTTGACTGCCAGCACTCCGAAGGTAATTGGATATTTCCATCAAAAGAATGCATTTGAATTGAAAGAGCAGTTGTTCAGCTTGCAATGTAGCAAAGAAGTGGAGAGCTCTTCCCACTTTCAACGCGCGTTGGCATTCGGGTTAGCGCGGCGCTAGTCCACGCTCAGGTGTCGCGTGCCTCCCGCAACCATCATCACCACGACGCACCACCAAACTGAATCTCTTGTGACACATGAACTCCTTCCTTCTCTTCTATGCTGCAGCTTCAAACAAAGAAGATAGCTCTCGATCGCCGATAATGTACCGGTTCGCCGATGCATAGCCATGCCGTTCGTTTCGCGCGGTGGTCTGATTTTCTTTCGGCTTTAGTCCCATTTGGCCCAAAACAGCAACCATCATGCCACTTTCAAGTCCGCGATCCAATAGGTGTGTAAGGGACCGTTGCATGTGACTGATGTTGAGCGACTTTCGGGGCTTGAAATACTGCTTGTCTGTGGAGGCGACGGTCTTACTCTCTCTACCGTAATCCTGTTGTTCTTTCCTCGTTGTTCATTCTTTCCTCCTTCTCTATCGCGCAAACTACTCTCCGCGGCTTTGTGACCTTGGAGTCTATCTACCATTCGGGTAACTCGCGATACAACCTGGTAAACCACCGTTACAGAATACCTCCATCGCACAGAACCGAGAATACTCGCGCAGAGACTCCAAGATCGAGCACGAAGCACAGAAAGGCACTCGCAACAAGGTGTGCGAAATAGGCTGACTACAAAATAACGCCTACTTCTCAATTTACACACATTGGGAACCCGCACTTCTACAGCCAGATTACATTCGACGCTTTCTCAACTCCTCATTTCAGACGAACATCTAAAGCTTCCAACACAACAAATCCCCCCACAATGATGATAACCCGCACCTTCTCCCTCACCAACTTCCTCATCGGCTCGTCAGCCCTCTGCTTCCAAATCTTTGTACTTTACCCGTGGCATGAGAAGCTGGAAGAAGAGTTTGTCGAGCTGAAGAAAGAGCATGCAAGGCTACTGGAGGAGACGCACGAAAGGCACAGGGGAGAGTTGAGGGGGATTAGAGAACAGCTGGAATTGGCCAACGAGCGAAGGAAGACTGGGAAGTTTTGGTAGGCTGGTAGGATTGGCATGGCGAAAGAGGAGGAGATGGTGGAAGGGAAACATGCTAAGCAGAGATGTTTGTACTCAGTACCTATCACGATCGCAGGCACCTAATGCGATCGCTACTCGGAGCATAGCATCGGGTTCGAATGGAAGACGGAGTAACGCGCTCTTAATGTGCCTAGATACGCCCAATAGTCCACAATGGATCACCATAATGCGAAGCCCGTATGCGTATCTGAAAACAACAATAGCAAGCAGACGCAGCCAATAGTACATGTAGCGAACAACAAAGTTCACGAAAGCGAATGCATCTATCGAAAAACACCCCTCCGTTCCCTCCGCGAAAACCTTCCTTAGCCCATATAACAACTCAGAAAAGAAAAAAAACTTCACACACAATAAACTACTCCATCACATCGATAAACTGCTGCCCTTCCAATAGCACCAACGGCTCCCCCTCCCTCCCTCCTGTCAAGTCTGTCAAACGCGGACCCAACTCCGCCACTCGGGGTCCATCCAATCCATCCAATCCGTCCTAAACCCACCCTGTCCACCAACCCAAAAACAGCCCTTCCGAGCGCCGATCTTAGGGGGGCAGCAAACCAGCGGACCAGCAAAACCCCTTACCCATCCTCTTTCTCCACAATGACGCCAGCAAGGCGCGGAAACAGTAATATGCAGGTTATGGTGATCAGCACGCACCAAACAAACAAAGCCGTGCAAAAGGGATCAACACGCATGCAGCGTGTGCCGAGCCGCGTGGGTTGACAACTGACGTTTGACGTGCCGCGTGCAGGTGATTAATGATTAATTCGCGGCAGGCTGGCATGATGATGATGATGATGGTGATGATGTGTGGTGCGGGACGGGTTGGCGTGGGATTGATTGCGCGACGCGCGTTTTGCGACTCAGACTGTACAATGAGGCGATTTTCACGTGCAGAGATACTGATACTGATAGGCAAAGGTGTGTTTTGTAGTCATTCGCATTTCAGTAGATAAATGTGAAAGGAGGCAGGCGCTAGGAGACGTGAAAAAGCCCGTGAAGAGTACAACATGCAGCATTGGAACGGGAAATGGAATTAGTAGTAGGAAATGTAACGCCTTGGTATAGTAGTGTCGAAGAAAGCTCTCAATCCGAAGCCGTCATGTCTCGGAGAGTGATGAATGGTCCTCCTTAGCAGCACTCGCAGCCTTTATGTCCTGCTGCGGATCCGGCTGTCGCCCAGGCCTAGCAACACGCCGCCTGGCCCCTCGATTGTACCTGCGTGCGCTCCCTCCCGCGCGAGAACAGATATCTCGCATGCTAAACCCCCCAAATCCGTGCCCCATAAGGAATGTGACCGTGTGCATGGCCGGCTGTGGCTGCGAGCAGCTGTCGAATCGCGGCTTCCCTGAACGAAAAAAGATGAAAAGTGGTGTTCGCGACAATCCTCATGGCTTATGTCTGAATCTCCTTCTTCTCTGCGCCCTTTGGCCGGAAGACGGCGTCTTGACCCGACATGCGACGTGCGAGTGCGCGGTCCAGCTTTGCTCCCAGCGCCAGCTTGCTCATGTCGTCTGTCTTGCGCTCGTTGAGGGCGTACCGTTGTTGGACCAGGCGCTTGTCTTCGAGGCGGTCAAACCCCGCGTTCCATGTCTTGATGTCGTGTGACTTGGGGTCGCCGGCTGTTGACGAGGCTTGCGAGAGGTGCGAGGGCGCGATGGAGGGTGTGAGGGTGGGTGTGGCGCTGTAGGTGGACATGCGGGTTGATGCGCGGTTGGCGGCCGACTTCTTCTCGTTAGACTGTGCTTGTGCTTGTTCCGACATGGTCGCCGTGTGGTGTGCGTGTTTGTGTTGGTGCGGGTGTGTTGGAGCGCAAAGGCAGGTGTTTGTGTAGTGAGTGTGAAGGGAGAGGAAGGCGCAAAGGAGTGAATGTCAAGCACGTAGTGCAGGTGCTCCTCGGCGAGCATCGACCACACGCAGGGGACGTCTGAAACGGGCAGTGGATACGGGAGAATGACTTACGTTGGCAAGCATGGGCCGCGAGGACTCAAGAGAGTTTGTCATGATGCGCGCCACGGCGAGTCCGGTGGTTAGTAGGTGGGCGGGGATAGCGTGCTGCTTGCTAGGTCGCCGGAACTGCAATCGTACGACGGCGATTGAAGGGTATAAGAGCGGGCGCACGCAAACAGAGCAGTCAGAGGCCGGTGTCCGTGCTGGGTCTGTAGAGAAAAGCGAGGAGATGGGTGTTGTAGTCGGTAGAAGTCCTGTGCTCAGCCTGCCTTACTCCTGCGCGTTTCAAAGGGCCCAGATCGGCAAGGGGCGTCGTGAGTAGCAAGATGCACGCGCAGGGGCACCACGGTTAGCGAGTCGCAACGGGCGGCGGTGATGTTTGGTAGGATTCTAAGACGTCAGCCTTGCAGACAAGCAGCGGCATGTGCGTGGTCAAGACGCGTAGCAGGAGTCTCGCCGACGAACACGACGCGGTTATGTAGGCAGCGGCGGCTGTGAGCAAGGAAAGAGCGACCCCTCCACCACTACCACCACCGGCATCAAGACATCCACCAGACGGCTCTGAAACGGCCGCACGTAAGGATACTGCATCTAGGGATACTTGCATTTCGATAAAGTGCTGAGTGAGTTGCATGCAGTCAGCCTCCACTCAAGCCATTCACGCCGACCGCGACACCCGACCAATCCCCTTGACCACCGCCCACGCTTGCATCGCCTATGCCACGTTTTTCTGCGGGAACCCAGAACCCACGTTGGCCGCTACAGGGCCCCGTGTTGCTTAGGTTTAGCTTCGTCTCCACCGGTGCCCGC